AGCAACTAGAAGGATGTGAACCTATGACATACAACTATCTACTGGGGCTTTGGGGGGAAAAAACTGAATAAATAAAATCTTTAAAAAAAAAAAAAAAAAAAGAATCCAGATATTGATTCCTTAAAACTGTGTATACAGTAGTTTTACATAATACTTGGAAAGTCTTCATGTTATTCCAGGAATGGGTATAACCTCGTTTGAGGACCACTGCTCTATATCGTTGAATTAATTTTATGCAGTGTCATCTCTACTAATTAGTGGAATTGATGGAAACTACCTCAACGTAATAAAGGCCATATATGAAAAGCCCACAGCTAACATTATCCTCAGTGGTGAAAGACTGAAAGTTATACCTCTAGGATCAGGAACAAGGCAAGGATGCCCATTCTTACCACTTCTATTCAACATAGTACTGGAAGTCCTATCAAGAGCAATTAGGCAAGAAAAAGAAATAAAAGTCATATAAACAGGAAAGAAAGAAGTAAAATTATGTTTCCAGATGACATGATCTTATATGTAGAAAACCCTAAAGATTCCACAAAAGAACAGTTAGAACAAATAAACAAATTCAGCGAAGTTCCAAGATAGAAAATCAGTGCACAAAAATCAGGTTCGTTTCTATATGCTAATAATTAACAATCCAAAAAGGAAATTAAGAAAATAATCCCATTGACATAGCATGAAAAGAATAAAATATTTGGGAATAAACTTAAACAGGGAGGCAAAAGACTTGTGCACTGAAAACTCTAAACCATTGCTGAAAGAAATTGAAGAAGACAGAAATAAATAGAAAGACATCCTGTGTCCATGGATTGAAAGACTTAACATTGTTCACATGTCCATACTACCCAAAGCCATCTATAGATTCAGTGCAATCCCTATCCAAATCCCAATGGCATCTTTTGCAGCAATAGAAAAAAAATCCTAAAATTCATATGGAACCTTACGGGACCTGAAGTAGCCAAAACAATCTTGAAAAAGAACATAATTAGTGCAGTTTTAATTTTGCTTTTGTGACTTTAGTTTTATGGCAACACTCCTTTATCTTATCCTTCTCCTTTTCCACCTTTTGCATCTTTTATGCTCATGCACGCTCACGCGGAACACGGCTTCTCACGTCCCAGTGGCAGTGCTCAGGAATGATAACTTGGCTCAACAAAAGATTCCTATTAGATCATAGTATTTTAATTTTGGCATTCAGCACTGTCAGTTGCGGTATAGAGGATCCTGATTGGTAGTCACAGGTGGGGAGAAAGTAAATAGGATAGGAAGTGACAGTGCCATAAGATGAATCCTAAAAATCAAGGCTCAAGGAAAGTCCTGCAAGTATATAGGCAAAAAAAGATTTTCAAGTGGCCCTCTTGTTTCAGATGTTACAAATAGATCCCTGTAGGCATTCAGGAAACCAAGGAATTAAAGGGAGGCCTCAACTTTGCCTCCTCTTCATTGAAATTGAGGCTTAAGGCTAAAGACTCAGGTCTCACTGGTGAGAGGGAACATGAACTACTCCAAAAATGTCTTGGTCTTATTTGCAGTGTGACTTAGTGATAAGTTTTCTTGACTTGTACCTAATAAGCTTTTTATTCCTAGAAAGAGATTAAAAGAAAGCTCTCTGAAATGCAGAATCTTGAAGAAACAATGGCAAAACTTCAACTGGTAAGTAGATGCCATATTAAATTGCCAGAACTTTTGGTAAGAAAATTTTTATGTTTTATTTTACATATATTTGTTTAATTGAGATATAATTTACATATCATAATATTCACTCTTAATTATACAATTGAGTGGCTTTGGTGTATAGTCGTCCCTCAGTATCTGCGGGGAATTGGTTCCAGGATCCCTGCAGATACCAAAATCCACAGATGCTCAAGTCCCTTTTATAAAATGGCTAGTATTTGCACGTAACATATGCACATCATCCCCAACATTTTAAATCATCTCTAGATTACTTATAATACCTAATACAGTGTAAATGCTATGTAATAGTTGTTATACTGTATTGTTTGTTTAGGGAATAATGACAAGAAAAAGAAATCTGTACACGTTCGGTACAGATGCAACTATCTTAGGCCTTTCCATATGCAGTTGATTGAATCCACACATGCGGAGGGCCAACTGTAGTCACAAAGTTAATGCAGCCATCACTATGTATTATCTAATCCCAGAACATTTTCATCACTACAAAAAGAAACCTCATATCCATTAGCAGTCATTCCCCGTTTTCCTCTGCTTAGCCCTTGACAACCACTAACTTACTTTCTGTTTCTATAGATTTGCCTATTCTGGACATTCTATGTAGATAGACTTATATAGTATATGGCCTTTTGTATCTGGCTTCTTTCACTTAGCACAGTGTTTTCAAGGTTCATGCATGTTCTAGTATGTATCAGTACTTCCATGTTATGGCTGAGTAATATTCTATTGTATAGGTATAGTTTCATTTATATTTTTATAATTCTTTAATCTCGTATATAATAGATTGCAAATTAAATTCAAATTTGGAAAATCTGTTAGGAATTTTATATTCTTTTAACTACTTCATGACTTGTCAGTTTACTAATATTAGAAATTGATAATTACTTGATAAAGTTGTTGTCTTTTATTAAAAGGAGTCAGTCCTCTTTTAATAGCTTTGTTTGGTGGTGCAAACCATTTTCCTAGTCATATTGTTTGTTCTGGTAGTCTTCAAATGAGAAAAATAGTAATCATCCCAGCATAAGCCTAGATACAGCATAGAGTTCTATAGTCTAGAATTGGTAGAATGTCTTGCTTACCAGTAGAAACTCCTGGGTCATCACCCAAAAGATTATTGAGGACTTTTTATTAATGGCCTGTTAACTGAGATGAGTTTCTGCTAAGATCGGAAGTAAAGACTGATACTAATTTCCAAGTTTTCACGTTATGTGTACTCTTTATACAGTCTAGCTGCAATCTTCTGGTGGCATAAGGCAAATTGAAAGACAAAACCATTGTGATACACAGGCACACAGTAGGTGCTCAAATATTTGTCCATTTTTGTATGCTCACTATGAACAGCATATCGCAGTGGCTTCCTTTTTTTTTTTTTTTTTTTTTGAGGAAGATCAGCCCTGAGCTAACATCCGTGCTAATCCTCCTCGTTTTGCTGAGGAAGGCCGGCTCTGAGCTAACGTCTATAGCCAATCCTCCTCCTTGTTTTTCCCCCAAAGCACCAGTAGATAGTTGTATGTCATAGTTGCACATCCTTCTAGTTGCTGTATGTGGGACGTGGCCTCAGCATGGCCGGAGAAGCGGTGCGTCGGTGCGCACGGGGATCCGAACCCAGGCCGTCAGCAGCGGAGTGTGCGCACTTAACCGCTAAGCCACAGGGCCGGTCCCAAGTGGCTTCCTTTTTTTATTCAACTGCTTTAGCTTTATTCAACTCAATGCAATACTGAATAATGAAATTAGCTAAACCTGCTAAATGTTGTCCACTCTTGAGTCTCATAGATGTTGTAAAATTCTCCCATGAGGTCAATAAATGTAAAGTAGATGTTTTAATGATGTTTTCATTACAACGTAACTTCATCGGGGCAGGGGTTTTTGCTGTTTTTTACTGCTGTTGTATGTATACCGTAAACAGTTGGTGTGATTCATAATGCTTGTCTCAGAACTGTGACCACATTTCAGTAGCATTGGCTAACAGTAAGATGCTGCTGTAGTTACTTTCTGGCCTTCTTTATTTTTTTATTAGTGCTATATTTTATGTATTTTTAAGATAAATACTAATGATATTAATAGCTAACACTTATCGGCACTTGCTGCGTGCTGGACGCTGTGCAGAGTCCTTCACATCCATAGATTCATCCTCACAGTGAATCCTCCGTGTCCGGGTTCTGGTCGGTTTTTTTGTTTGTTTGTTTTTTTGTGAGGAAGATCAGCCCTAAGCTAACATCCATGCCAGTCCTCCTCTTTTTTTGCTGAGGAAGACTGGCCCTGGGCTAACATCCGTGCCCATCTTCCTCCACTTTATATGGGATGCCGCCATAGCATGGCTTCACAAGTGGTGGATTGGTGCGCGCCCAGGATCCAAACCGGGGCCGCCAGCAGCGGAGTGCGCGCGCTTAACTGCTACGCCATGGGGCCGGCTCCCAGGTTCTGGTCTTAACTGCATTGTGCAGATGAAGCTGAGAGAATAACCACCATAATTACAGACACCTATGGTAGTCTTAGAGCACTGTGTCTTATTACTGCCCTCCTTTAAACATAGAAAAGCTTTAAAATTTTTTGTTACATAAGTACATATTAATTTTTTAAAAAATAGGACAATATGCTGAACAAATTAAAAGAAAATCTAATAGTTCTACTCAGAAAGGAGCCCTGTTGACATTTGGGTTTTATTGTGCTTTTAGCCACCATTGATAATTAACTTTAATTGAAGCCATATTTGACTAATAAAAAGAGTATATGTGTATGTGAATTACTCTTAAGTAAATATGCTTACAAAATATCTATTTTAAGTGCTATACTATTTTATAAAGTTGTTAGAAATCTTAATTATGGTATTAAAATTTGCAGGAATTAAACTTATGCCATAAAGAAAAGGAGAGGCTGAATGATGAACTCCTTATAAAATCAGACCTGGAAACTGTTGTTCATCAGCTTGAACAAGAAAAGCAAAGACTTTCAAAAAAAATTGAAAGTTTTGCAGTTACAGGTAAAATGTAAAATGTTGATAACTTAAAAAGTGATTGTGATTTCCTCTTGATGTATGTTTCTTTTTAGTAGATGATCTTTCCTTCATTCATTCCATAAATATTTATTGCATGCTTGCTATATACCAGAATCCATACTAGGCACTGTAGATTCAGTAGAAAGTCTCTCTCCATCAAGGACCTTACAGAATTCTTTTATATTTTGACTAGTTGGTACAGGGAACCCTGCTTGAATATTTTTCAGTCAAAGTATATCCTTCTTTGAGGCAGACTGATAATAGAGTTAATTAAGACTAAGTGGAAGACCATTCTGAAATAGTGAAAAATAGAGGTACAGAATCTTTTTAAGGAAATGCAGTTGTATCACCTGAAAGTACACACACACACACACACACACACACACACACACACACGTAAGAAAAGCTAACTTTCTGCCAGATACCAGTCCTAAGTGAGTTGGTTTGAGGAGCATGTAAGAATTCATTCGACAAATATTTATGAGCCTGTGTGTGTCAGGCTGTTTTGGGCGCTGGGGTATATAATAATGGTACACAAGGTCCCTGTTATGTGGTGCCTTTATTCTAGTTAGATAAACTAGTAACACATAAATGAAGTTTATTTTAGATGATAGAAGATATTAAAATAAAATGGAAGAATGTGCTAGAGATTGACTCAATGACAAGATATCAGCCATATGAAGATCTAGAAGCAGAGTTTCCCAGGCAGAGGGAATGGCAAATGCAGAAGCCTGGTACCATCAAACTCCATGGGTCTTAAGAAGTGAAAGAAAGCCAGTGTGCTACTTTTTTTTCTTTTTTTCTTTTTTTTTTTTTTTTTTTGCTGAGAAAGGTTCACCCTGAGCCAACATCCACTGCCAATCTCCCTCTTTTTGCTTGAGGAATATTCACCCTGAGTTAACATCTGTGCCAGTCTTCCTGTATTTTGTATGTGGGATGCTGCCACAGCATGGCCGCCAACCAGTGGTGTAGGTCCGCGCCCAGGAACCAAAGCGGAGCATGCCGAACTTAACCACTAGGCCGTGGGGCCGGCCCCCAGTGTGTTATTTTAAGAAGAGGCTACATCCTAGGCTTTTCAGCATCCTATGTGGATAATGTTTGACGCCTTCTCCACTTACTAGCTGTATGACTTGAACATGTTACTTCGCCTCTCTGTGCCTCAGTTTCCCTATCTGTGGGGTTAATGATGGCACCTAACCCAAAAGCTTGTTATGAGGATTAAATGGGTTAACATATTAAAGTGCTTAGAGCTATGTATAAAAGTTTGCAATTTACTTCCTTTCATAGCTAGCTATGGCCTATCATTTCAGTGTAATCTTTCAGATATTGAAACTCCCTTGTTTCTCTGTTTCGAATGCATCCCCCTGCCAAAAACCCAGGCATGGGTCAACCAAAACATTTACCTTCTGCACGTTTACACATGAGCAGCTAAGCACCGCTTGCATGTGCATCGGACGCATTGATAGCACTGTGAGTAAGGTGGTCCCGAAGCTCAGCAGCACCCTAAATGATGTATGGAAATCTTACTCGCTTTTTTACTGCTTGATGTCCCACTCTTTACAGGGAACATTTCAGGTGTTTTCCATTCTCAGTCAACTTGTAACTCTCATTCTACTTCCCTTCTAAGTGGATGCTCTTATCCCATTTCCCTGAGAGAATAGAAGCCATCAGGGAGGCATTCTGTCAGTTTCTTGCCCCCAGATCTTAAACCTGTCCATCCTTTTTTTTTTTGGTCTTCCATGTACTCTTTTTTTTTTAATTGAGGTCACATTGATTTACAATATTATGTAAATTTCAAGTGTACATCATTATATTTCGACTTCTTTATAGACTACATTGTGTTCACCACCGAAAGTCTAGTTTCCATCTGTCACCATACAAATTTGCACCTTTACCCCTTTCATCCTCCTCCCACCCCCTTCTGCTCTGGTAAGCACCAATCTGTTGTTTGTATCTGTATGTTTGTTTATCTTCCACATCAGTGAAATCATACAGTATTTGTCTTTCTCTGATTTATTTCATTTAGCATAATACCCTCAAGATCTATCCATGTTGTCACAAGTGGCAAGATTTCATCTTATTTTATGGCTAACATTCCATTGTGTATGTGTGTATGTATATGTATACACATATATACACATATGTATACACACTTCATCTTCTTTATCCATTCGTCCATTGATGGGCATTTAGGTTGTTTCCAAATCTTGGCTATTGTGAATAATGCTGCCATGAATGTAGGGGTGCATATATCCTTTCCAATTAGTGTTTTCTTGTTCTTTGGATAAATAACCAGAAGTGGAATAGCTGGATCATATGGCAAATCTATTTTTAATTTTTTGAGGAATCTATATACTGTTTTCCATAGTGGCTGCACCAATTTACATTCCCACCAGCAGTGTACAAGGGTTCACTTTTCTCCACATCCTCCCTAACACTTGATATTTCTTGTCTTTTTAATAATAGCCATTCTGATGGGCGTGAGGTGATATCTCATTGTGGTTTTGATTTGTGTTTCCCTAACAATTACTGATGTTGAACATCTTCTCATGTGCCTATTGGTATATCTTCTTTGGAAAAATATCTGTTCAGATCCTCTGCTCATTTTTTAACTGGGTTTTTTTGTTGTTGAGTTTTATGAGTTCTTTATATATTTTGGATATTAAGTCGTTATCAGATATATGATTTGCAAGTATCTTATCCTAATTGTTAGTTGTCTTTTCATTTTGTTGATGGTTTCCTTTGCTGTGCAGAAGCTTTTTAGTTTGATGTAGTCCCATTTGTTTATTTTTTCTTTTGTTTCTCTTGCCTGAGGAGACATACTCAAAAAGATTCTGCTAAGACCGATGTCAAAGCTGACTGCCTATATTTTCTTCTAGGAGTTATGTGGTTTCAGGTCTTACATTCAAGTCTTTAATCCATTTTGAGTTAATTTTTATGTATGGTGTAAGATAGTGGTCTACTTTCATTCTTTTGTATGTGACTGTCCATAAACATGTCCATGTTTATCTTCCCTCCTGTTACAATGGAGTCATGTCCATCTTATGAAAGGCCACTGCCTCCATCTGTTCTCTGGGTCCTATCGTCTCTGATTTCAAAAACCTTACGTATTACCTCCTTTCCTTAACTTTAGTCTTTGTGGTGTTTTTTCCCGTTGGCATTTAAAAATGCTTACCCTTCTCCTATTTTAGAACAAAAACTTTGACCCATTTCTCTCCAGCCACTCTTTCCTCCTCTTCATAGCTTTAACATCTTGAAAGGTCATTCACACTTGCTGTTTCTGCTTGATCGCCTACTACCCTTTAGCTCCTCAGTCTGCTCCAGTTGGCTTCTGTCCACCACTCACCAACAAAATTGCTCTGTTAAGGTCATCACTCACCTCCATTATGCTACATGCAGTGGGCACCTTTCATTCGTTAATTTATTTGACTTCTTAGCATTTAACACAATTGCACATTCCTTCCCATTTTCCTACTCTCTTCCTACCTCTCTAGTCACTCCTCGGGATGAATTTACCAATTCATCCTCCAAGTTGCATTGCCTGCTGTATGTTTGACCTTGGCTATGTTTTTCATACTTGTATCCTTAGCTAGTGCTGGGCATATAGTAAATGCTCAATAAGTATCTGTCGAATGAATGAAAGAAGAGACGGGAGTGAATGAGAATATATCTTGAAAATCATTTTATGCCTTAGAGTGGTAATGAGCCTCAGTTAAATTAGAGTGAACTATATGAAATATTGCCGGTATTGGCTACTTTTGACTCATGAAAAGGTGATTGCTATGGTAAAAGTTAATAATTGTGCTTATTTGGAGAAAGACAAGTTGTTTTGATCTCTTTGTATGTATACTGTGTTAAATTCAAGCTTAATGGTAAAATCATGGATATTATGATTGTAGATTAATTTAGTGCATTTTCAGATCACTAGAAAGTACCATATGATAATTTATTACTGCACTCTGTAGTACTAAATACCCATCCTTGTGATAAGACAAAAGCAGGAGGACTTTGACTTATTAGATTTTATTTAAACTTTTAATTTAATTTTTGCTTTTGTTTTTTTCTCCTTTCCTTTCAATATTTACCTCTTTAATATCTGGCAGTTATAGGTGATACACAAAACAGTTAATGATTTTTAGTAGCTTGCATTCTAAAAGTTATTGATAGAATTTACTTGGCTAATTATATATTTTATGTGCAAGACTGTTTTAAGATTTAATTACTTTAATTTGCAGAAAGAGAACTTACTTTGGAAGTTGAGAGGATGAGACTAGAACATGGAATAAAACGTCGAGACAGGTCACCTTCTCGTTTAGATACATTTCTGAAAGGTATAGAAGAAGAACGAGATTTTTATAAGAAAGAGCTAGAAAGACTCCAACATGTAATACAGCGAAGATCTTGCTCTACAAATTATTCTGCACGTGAAAAAATTCCAATATTTAAAACATTAGAAAAGGTAATATTTCTAAATAAAAGTAATTGATAAGGCAAAAGAGTATCTTTATGAGCAAACTTTTCAAATTTATTATTGTATTAAATGTAAATTTATTCATACTTGCTTTTAAAAAAAGCTTGCTTTCTTAATTTTGATTTTTGTTTTTTTCCATGACCTCTACTGTAGGAACACTGCATTAATTAGGAAAACTATTTAAGAACAAAGCATAACATACTGATTCCTAGAAATTAAGAAAAGATTTAATAGCTCATTATGTATATGGGAGGAGTGCAGGGGCATCTGGGCTTCTAGACACTGGAACCAAGAACTCATGCTACTGGACATTTTCTCTCTTTCTAGCCTTTACTTTCAGTATCACCTTCATTTTCTCTATCAAAGCAGAGTGGCTTTGTCCACATGTCAGGCAGCATGGCTTCATGCAGTTCCCAGCCTTGGACCAGTCAGACAGAAAGGCAGGTCACATTGGAAGTCCTCTTCCGTGTTAACCACACAGTAGGAGAAGGTAACAGGTGGAAGTGGGTGCTGGGCAGATCATCCCATTTGTCTACTATGACCACATTTACAAGTTGGTAGTCTAAAGACGTATATTAGGTGAAGTTAACCATGATTCATGAGAGATTAAAAACGTGTCTCTGTTTTAGGTCTTAATTATTTTCAATGTTTTATGAGTATCATTTGAGTTCTTTAAATTTTTCTTTTTTTTAAGCTTTGGAGCTATAGGAGTCCTGGAGGCTTATATGACCCTAACATTATCTACACTGTAGATAAAATTATGGGAATTTGGGAGTAAAGTCATTAAAACTCAAAACATTTGATTTCAGACTTGACTGAATTTACCAGTTCCATCATCTTTTTCCTGAAGAACCTGTGTCCATTGTCAAATGATTTTGAGTGGTTTTCTGATTAGACTCTGTTTTTTAACCTCGTTGGATAATGGCTGAATTTGATTTACAGGTGTCAGTATAAACACTATGCCGTGTTATTTATTATAATCGATGAATTGGTGGGAAAATACAGTGTAATTTGTGTTATTGAGTGTTTTTGAAGTTCCATATATACTTAGGACTCAGGAAAAATCACTGAATCGATCACCTTTATTGTGTAGGAGAATCTTCCACAAAATGGTTGATCAATTTAATCAAGTATTTATTATATAGAACTGAGTAGATAAATATCTCAAAACTTTTAACATAAATATTTGATTCAGTTGCTTGGTGTGGATTCACAATTGAAAAACAGAGGTATTGGTAAAGTACTGATAAAATTAGGAGAGACTCCATCCCCCACCTGCACCCCCCCAACTTATTTAGATTCTTGAAATGTTTTTTTTTTTTTTTTTTTAAAGATTTTATTTATTTATTTTTCCCTCCAAAGCCCCAGTAGATAGTTGTATGTCATAGCTGCACATCCTTCTAGTT